AAATTTTTTTTTTTTTTTTTTTTTTTTTTTTTTTTTTTTAAAACAAGCGTATTATTTCAAGAAACGTTGGCCCTGAAGCAAAAAGTCATTCATAAAGCTATTGATCTCGTGGATGGCCATAATAAATTAGAGAACTGCAGTTCAAAAATCAGCTGTGAAATGAAGCTATTTTTCAAAAGATAGCAAAAAAGGTGGGGGGCAGAAATCTAAAAGTATTCCTTTAATTCATCACATCTTTCATTACACACAATCCTGAAACCTTTGAAGATGCATACATGCACTTAAAATTGAAACTTTAAGCTATCAAAGTAGAGCAGGGGTGGCCAAAGTATGGCCTGTGGGCTGCATCTAGCCCACAGCAGGTCCCTTGGTGGCAGGTGGCTCCTTCCAGCTGCTGCTGCCAGCCCCATGGTACTGGTGGGGACCTACAATGCACAGCTCTGACCCCATACTCCCAGTGCTTGCTCTGGGCTTGCCTGCCCAAGCTCAGCAGCAGAAGCACGAGACAGAATCTGTTGCTCAGGGCAGGGGAAAAGGCATCCCTCCCCCTCCTGCTGCCGACAGTTCCCTGCTGCAGCTGCCCGGAGCCCACGCTGGGCCGCCCTTCATCTGCACCGCCACCTCTGGGCTGCCCTGCAGGGCAGCAGTTGCAGCACAGAGCAGACTCAGGGCAGACCGGTGCAGGCTCCAGGTGGCTACAGCAAGGAACTGCCGGCAGCAGGAGGGGGAAGGGTCACTTTCCCCCTGAGCTAAGCAAAGCTTGTCTCGCACTGCCACTGCTGAGCCCAGGAAGACAAGCCTACAGCAGGAGCCACTGCCACCTAGGGTGCCTAGGAATCATTTTGGAACCAAGAATTCTAGTTTTTTATATGTACAAAGACAGTCGCACTGCAGACCTGCCCCAACCTTGCTGCGTGCCCAGGGGGCGGCAGGACATGCGACAGGTGGGTGGTGCAATGCAGGCAAAAGGCCAATTCAGGGCCATGCTTGGTTCCAGCTGATCCACTCTGCTCCAGTGGGAGCGAGTCTGGAGTGCACGCATCGTACTGGGATGGTGCACTGCTGGTAATGGCAGGGAGGCACCACAGGGCACATGGGCTCCAGGCTGTTACAAGGTGGGGGGAGGTGCTGACCAGTTCAGGGGGAGAAGGGGGCACACTCAGGAGTCCCATGCACACCCCATCATACCCACACACCCTCCCCTGCAAACCCCCACAACCACACCCTCCCCGCACACAAATCACACACCCCACAAACACTGCACCCACCCACACCCCACACAAATCCCACACCCTCCCCTCACACAACCTCATGTGCCTCTATGAGGAGCCCCATTCACTGCTACGTGCATACCCCCCACAACCCACCCTACCACAAACACGCGCGTGCACGCACGCACGCACACACACACCCCCTCCCCCTCCACATGCCGCACAAGCCCTATACCCACCCACCTACACATCCCCACAAACACTCCCCTCCACAAACCCCTCACCCACATCCCCCACCCCACACCCAACCCTCCACACCCCCCTACAACATGCAAGAGTAAGACTTCATTTGGAGCTATTATGCAATCACCTCTATTATACATCACACAAAAATCTGGACAAAAATATTTTTTTAAATAAAATATGTTATTGTCAATGTTTGATTTTTAGCATATAATTTGGGGTTTTTTCCAGTTACGAGATGGCAAACCCCCTTCCCAAAAGGAGTACTTCTGGGGACAAGGGAAGGAACTTCTGGTGGCAAAGGTCAGCAATTCAGGGGCACGATTTCCCATCCCAAGATGGTGACCAGGGGGCAGGGCAGCCGTCAAGGGGCAGGGCCACCCTTGTGACCCTCCACGGCTCACCAAAACTTGTTAAGTGGCCCTCCATCTGAAATAATTACCCGCCCTGAGATAGAGTGAAGTAAAGATGTCATAGGAAAGTAACACAAATTGGCAGCTAAACAGAGAAACAGGCCTCAAACTTAAGCCATCTCACGATTTTTTCTGTTTTTCTCCAAATCTCAAAAGCACCAGTAACTGACTTAGGACACTATCAAGATTACCCAACCTTATCATTTTCCTTTATCTGTAAATATGGTACTTTCACTGGAAAATCACTGACTGAAGAACTTCTAAACACTGCTACATAAAGAAAAGCTATCATTCAAGTTCTTTGAAGACTGAATTGCCTCTCATTTTAGATAGGACGAACAGATGAACCAAACACATGCAGATCTATACCTACCCACCACATACACACAATCAACATACATCTTTTCTGTTTAATGACAAATGTTCATGCACTTGATCAAAGCACGGGTGAAATTTAACCCTTTTGAGGCATAGTCTGTAGAAATTAGTTTATAAAATTATCTTCAACATGTCCTTACAACCCTCTATCAAATCCAGTCAATGTTTCTTTATCAACCGAACTTAAAATTTTCAATTTATTCAAACGGCTTTCAACAGCATTCAACAGCAAACATCCCAGGGGGTCCACAAGCACCTACAGCTGGATGAGAGCAATACACATCCT